GATGTGTCTTTGCACTATTCCAGCCTGAAGCATGCAAACAATCCCCGCCCCTCTGGCCAAGGAAGGACAGGATTGGTCAAAACGGATGTCACGTACTCGACAGTGACCAGTCGCAAGAACCCTAACGGATCACATGATCACAGATAAACCCGCCTTAGGGCATGGTCACACGTGCACTAATCCAGGCGAGTGAAATCTGCATGTTGTGCTAAATGCAGTCAGTGCAGGATGTGACAGCAAGTAAGCTATTTAAAGGATAATTTTTAATATTATGATGATATGTAATTTGCTTCCTTACAATCATTGACCTACTCAAATGCACCACAGAAGAATGTTACTGCTCGCACATAATGAAAGTTTAATTGTACATACTCTATAGGCTTAGCCCAAAAAGCACTGTTTTTAAGCTCCTCTTGTGTTTCACTGTTTTTCACTTGTATCTGTCAAGAATTTGTTTTCATTTTTAATAATTACATTCTGATGCAACAGGCTCCTGTCGTTTTATACAACCCATCATTTATGAAATGCTTGTTAAATAACTTAAAAGTCAACAATACACATTTAGAATATACAGTTTTAAAAAATTGATCTGGTGAGGAAGTTTTACTGAGGATGATACAATATTTGGGCACCTCTGTAAAAAAAGTTACACATGTCTAGTGTATAAAAGTCAGCAATAGTATCGACACGCCCGGCCTGCAGCGGAAGCTAAGAGGAGTTTGCATTGCCTAATAACGTCTGACTTCCTGATCAACACCAAAGGTGATGCAAGATAGCTTTTCCTTTGCTCTTGTTTCAGCAGATAATTAATATAAACTACAAAATAAAGTTTAACATGTATATTAATATATATTATATTATTTCGTGTGTGTGTGTACAGTTGCAAGAAAAAAAGCATGTGATAGTTTTGAATTACCTGGATTTCTGGATAAAGTAGTCATAAAATGTGATCTGATCTTCATCTAAGTCACAGACAAACACAATCTGCTTAAACTAACTCCACACAAACAGTTATGTTTCATGTTTTGATTGAACACACTGTGTAAACATTCACAGTGCAGGGTTAGAAAAGAATGTGAACCCTTGATTTTGATAACTGGTTGGCAGCAGTTTCCTGTGGCTTCAGATCAGTCCTGAACAACAAGAGGAATTGTGGACCATTCCTCTTTGCAAAACTGTTTCAGTTCAGCAAGATTCTTAGGATGTCTGGTGTGAATCGCTCTCTTGAGGTCACAGCATCTCACTCGGGTTGAGGTCAGGACTTGTGTATTGTGTTCTCCTGAAGCCATTCTGTTGTTGATTTACTTCTGTGTTTTGGGTCGTTGTCCCGTTGCATCACCGTTATCTGCTTCAATTGGCGGACAGATGACCTTACATTCTCTTGCGAAATGTCAGGCAGCAAAGCAGCCCCAAACCATGATTCCCCCTCCACCATACTTCACAGTTGGGATGTGGTTTTGAAGTGAATTTTTCTTTGTTGAAGAGGATAAAATAAATATCCACCCAATGTGGGAACTGATTACAAAACCCTTTGATTGAGAGTTCCATGCTACCAACCAGTAGTGGTCTGGCCATCTGGAGTATCGAGGCCGGTGGGCTGCCTTCCTTAGTCTATACCTTTTTACTAATAAATAAAGGTTCTCCCCTGTTAGTCTATTGGCAGCCCTTTGCCACACCTCATCCATCTCACTCACACACCACAGTGACACTGACAGCTGGAAAACGAGCTACAACAGAAAATCAGCAGAAAAGCTGAGCTGAGTTTAACTGAAATGCAAGTAAATGTAATAAACGTAATGGACTCGTTCTGTAGTGGCACTAGTACCAGGGCCACAGACGCTCAGACCGGGAAGAGGAAGATGCCACAGCCCGGTTCATGGGTGAAAGATTAAACAGAGAGGACAGTGAAGCCACAGATAGTGCAGCTGAACAGTACAGTGATCCCATACATGGATTTATTTCTGGGGGCCCACCTCAATATCATCGCTGACCGCCACATATTGATTATCGATTTTTTTTTCCTCTGCAGAGGAAACAGAATTCAACTTTTCTGACGGAGCTCAGAATTGATCAGGAGGACGGCTACTTTCCTCCAGACACTGTCTCCAGCCTCTGGATGACCTTGGACTGTGTGTGAGACCGTTTGGATGTTTACATCCAGGATTACATCCTGTCAGCTTGTCGGGAGATTTAAATATGAAGTTATGCTGCTGTGGCTCATGCGTAAATGCGCACAGCGTCTCTCTTGATGGGGAGACGCTTCACCCTGTTTCACACACCCTGAAATTCGCTAAATGTATTTATCGCCCAAAATTCTGCCTGCAAACAGCGGTGCTCTCAGTTAATGCGCGCACAACGTTGTCATGTGCTTCATGTGTTCCCCCAGCTCTGGACACTGACCATCGATGTCCCCAGTGTCCCCACCACTTTTTGAAATGGCTGATTTTGTCCCCATCACTTTTTCAAAGCATTTGCTGAAGGTTTTCTGAAAATTTGCTTTTCTTATAGATAAACAAGAGTCTCTATGTGCATACTTCTGGATCCGCCAGGTTCCCCTAACACAGAATGGAGGAAATTAAGAGCTTAATGCTCAAAATCTTCTGGGGGAGGAGCCCCAGACCCCAATCAAATAGCCTATTTCATTAATGAATATTTCTTCAAAATAGCATTAGACTATCTTGTTGTCTTGTTCTCGTGACTCCAATATTGTGCATTTTCATGTCACTACAGTGTTTGGTCACACCACTAATATGAGGCCTTAAATGTCCCCACCACTTTTCTACACAAAGTGTAGAAAGCTCCACAGGGTCCTAAAGCCTTTATTTTAGTTGAGCTTGTTATCAATGTTTTTTATTCAAATTTGTTTTATTAATAGGCTATAGACTAAATATAATTATGGAGATCCGGACCTCGGAGACCTGATAGCTGGTCACAGCCATGCCTTTTTAAAGTAGTAGCCTACTGCCATAGTGATCAATGGCTGTGATACTGCCAGGTGGTTTATTAGAGGCTGGTCCTGTAGTATACAGTGGACTGGATTACAACATAGTCTATATTGTAGTGTTTTTATGCTACTATGTTTTGAGATAGTAACCTGAAAGTAACGCATACTTTTTCATGTTCTTTACGAGTTCACCAGGTAGGCCTACTGATCATCAACTAACTTTAATTATTGTTCAACTTTGGTCAACAAGGAAGAAAAAAAAGATAAGTAACAATTAAAATCAGCAAAAATAGAAACTAGAATAATTTAATGTCACTACTCTGACAATAAAGGTTATCAGAACTGTGTACTATTCCACTAGATGGCAGCATAATCAACCTCTCAGATGCAGAGGGACTCAAACTCTGGGACCTGTTGATTATTGCATCTTTATTTCCTGGTCCCACAGTCTTTTCTTACATTTGAACACATCACAGAGAGATGGTTGATTGCAGCTGCCTGGATTTATATTCAGTGTCTAAAGATGAAACAACAATCGCATGTTCATTTTATTTTTATTTTCTAAAAGTTACACCAACTACGTGTCAAACAAATCCCCCAAAGTTAAATTGATTTCTGCAAAGCTCGTTTTAAACATGAAACTGAAAATAAAGCAGGTGAAGGCACAGTAGGTCAGCACAAGGTCCCTAATGCAGGAAGTCAGTGAAACACGAGAAGGTTCCTAACTACTTATTTACTTGATCAAGGTTGAGAAGTGTGATCTCATTTTTTGTGAGGTTGTTTGTTGATAATCAAGAAAACTTCAAGCTATATATTTATTTCTCATATTTTTAGTTCCACCCACAGGGACGAATGTACTGCTCGTTACCACGCGTGAACTTGGTGTCGCCGTCCTGGAAATGGAAAGAGGGGTCAACAGGGTCAAATGCTAATATGCTACATGCTAATGACAATATGTGCTGCATCAGTTCTGATCAGGTCATAATATCAACTGTCATTTATTTCAACTCACTCACTCACTCACCCCCCAACTCACTTCCTCCGGTCAGTATATTCTGTAGCTTCATACTTGACATTTGCCCAAACAAAAGAAAATTCAGTCAAGTTAAATCAAGTTAAGAAAATCCTGTATTAACTTTATTGTGTTATTTACGTCAATCTAATAACTAACTATTCATCTCACATTTATTCAGCATCTAAGTTCGAAAGTTAACAAAGAGATAAAGTGCAGCTAAGTCCTGCAAGCACCTGACCTCAGCTTTATGAAGTCACCCTCGTGTTGTACTGAGGATAGAAGAAGTCCTGAGGGTCGATCGTCACATTCGGTCCCCAGCGTTGCTCAGGCCCGGCCATGTCCCGCAGCGATAAAATCCCTATGTCGGGGTACTCCAGCTCATTCAACCCCTCCAGCTTGTAAAACCCCTTGAGGGCCACAATGTTGCTGAATTCCTGCGGGCTGAGCTTGGGGGCTTCACTGTCCTGCTCGACGTTGCAGCCAGAGAGAGCTGACAGGGCCTCCAAACACAGCTCAGTGGCCAGCACGGTGCTGACAGGAACAGGGAGGCAGCAGAAAAGAAAGTTTCCTCTTCACTTAGAAAGAAAAACAATTTGTTATCTTTTTTACGAGTTTGCAGATGTTTTTTTCTTGAAGTAAAGGTAGAAAAATAAGAGGTCGAAGTCGACTCCACTAAATAAAGTTTCCATGTGAAGATGTAACATGAGAGAAACTCATTAATTATCCCTAATATTATCTTCCTGGTTTACCTTTTTCCTCCTTTCTTCAGCTGAAAAAACAAAACAAAATGTAAAAACAGTCACTGTGGTTTTAGGGGATGTTATATGCCGGACTATTTCTTGGCTGGTAACCTCCTGCCTGGCATCCTCAGAGTGACGACAAAACTCCAGGTCTGGTATCAATCCTCTCCTCTAAGTCTCAGCAGGAAAGCAAACGACCTTATTTCCCAAAATGTTGAACTTTTCCTTTAAATGCGGGTCTAAATGTAGTTTAATTTACAGGACTGAATGTAAAGTTGAGTGAAATAGACAGAGAGTGGAATAGTATATATTTACTTTATTAAAGTGCATTTACATGTACGGTTAAGATCAAAAACAGACTCATTGTTTCATATGTGACATTTCGACTGTTTGGTTTCTATTTGGCGGCAGGTCTGGTGATGATGGACGAGTAGATGACATTGAGGTGGTCCTGTTCCGGCGGCGTCCTGTTGGGTCTCTCCCTCCAGTTCTGTCGGCCCAGAGAGGCATAATGGATCGTCTCCTCCGGCAGGGACGGACTCCCGTAAACCTCATACTCTGCAGAGAGACAGGTGAGCGTATTTAAGTGTGTTTATTTAAAACACACCTGAGGATTAATGAAACATTCAGGACAAAAGGTGCGATGGTGTCACCTGTTTGTGTGTCGGACGTCTTCCACAGCTGCAGCTCAGTGTCCTCATGCGTCTGTGCTGCTGCTGCTGCAGACGAAACAGAAGAAACTCCTATCACTGATGAAGATGCTGCTTGAAATATTTTCTGAAAAGAAGCTTTCTATCTTCAAGAATAAGAACAACTAAATTTAAGTCAAGGTTTGACTATATGCACAAACATTTTAAAAGGTTTTTGTGGACGCTATTGTGTCATGCCATACACTGCCACCCTCTGGTAAGACGTTGTAAGTGCAACTTAAATTTGGTAACATCTAGTAACAACTGAGGAGTAATACAATTGTTAAACTTTCCAAGTATGTTGGGAGGAAATTAGGATTAATCACCTGTCCAATAAATTGGACATTAGGCATCGCTGGCTATATTTCAACTACAATTAACTATAACTGAGACTTTTCTTGAAAATACTTCATGTGCACCAATTTCTTTGGATGTAAATCAATAGATTTATGTGACACTTGCAGTTTTTGTAACAAAAACAACATTTTGTGCAGATTAGTTCCAATTTATGAGTAACATTAAGTGTGTTGCAGCAAGTGACATTCAGGATAGTGGAGCAAATTCCATCAGAATCAAGTAAGGATAAAAGTAGGGGCAGTGATGATGAATGGCTGCCAGAAATAGGTGGATCCCCAAATGCTAGCAGCAGTGATAGTGGAGCTGAGGATGCCGAGGAGTCAGAAGTGAGGTTCAACCCTTTTGCATCGCATTAAACAGTATTAGAATATGTTGAAATATGTAACCACATTAGTTTAACCGCATTAAAAAATATAGATTTCACATAATATATAATTTAATTTATTGGTTTGTTAAATAAATATTTCTTCAGTTAAAACCTTATGTGCACGCTGTCCACCTTAGTACACAAAAATGTGTATTTAAAAAAAATTAAAATAAATATTTTATTATATAAAAACACACATCCTGACAGAGGCTGTCGTAATTCGTGCATGAAAGGGCTAGTATGCAGCAGTTTATTTACATTTATATTTATTTACATTTACATTTTTAGTTTGGCTGCGACGTCTAATGGCAGAAGGAGTCGGGTGACGTAGTACAAAGGGCGACAAAGTCTGTGTAAGGAGGCGGTGGTGTGGATGGATGTGTCAAGTAAAGTCAGGACTTTCACTCAGGACACCGAGTTTCAAGTCTTGTGTAAAAGAAAGTCAAATGTGACATGTTTGAAGTTAAATAACATTTCGTAGATTACTAACTTCAGGTGATTTAACGTGACCCAAACCATTTACCGTTCTTAAATCTAATCAAACTACAATCATTGCACAAAGTTTACCACGTGGTAAACGTCATGTAACTTACTTAACGTACTTGTGGTTCTGTACGCTTGTCGCTGAACTGGTACTTGCCAACGCTCCTACATGTTGTTTTGGACCAAGTCACCGCAATTATTATATATACTACAGTCGCCTAATCCGACACAGGGACCATTTTAACACACAAAATATCATGTACCCTGAATCCATATTATGTTATATTTTGGCCTTTGTGTCTTTATTTAATTAATTTTTTTAATTTGTACCTAATCTAGAAATAATGGCACTTGCGGCTCTCTGTATGTTAGACCTACCTGTACGTCTGCATTTCTTCTTCCTCCGGCACTTCATGCTGATCATTATAACACAGACTGCAGCCAACAGGAAGATCATGAACCCCAGACCGACCACAGCAACCACAAGCAGGGCTGAGCGAGACCACAGACAGAACATCTGTAAACAATTAACTTCATGTGTGAAAGAGCGAGGGAAGTACGTGCAGCTGACCCACCATTCTCACGTCTCTTCTTCTCCTTCGTCTTTATTTCAGCCACATCTGACAGACACAACAGGAAGAGCACAAATATTATTGATATTCTGTACAACAGATCATCCGCTTCCTGCCTTCGGAGCAGGATCCCTCATCTGTCTCCACTTACTGAGTTTTTCCCCGTAAAAGTTTTTTTTGAGGAGTCTTTCCTCGTCTGAATGGAGGGTCTATGTATCCGGTATGAAAATTTAAATTTATGATATTGGGCTATAAGTAAATATTGACTTGACTTGACATTATTGTCATGTGTGTGATGAAGAATCATTATCATTTATGGTAAATCACCACATGTTCAGAACGTTATACTATAATGTTCACTCTCTTGGGACTATTGTGTTGTACTAAGAGAAAAATATGATTTTTATGTTTATTATTATTATAAATGTGTGTCCACCAACAGACTGGAGACAACATTTCCTAATATTCATACATATAACTGATTAGCAACTAAACCAGTTTTAGCAAAGTAATGTCATGTATGGGTCATGGATAAATAAATTACAACTTAGTAGATGAACTCTTTATGCCTCCCCTCTGTCATTGTGGGTAAACTGATTTTCTCACACTTCAGTCATGTGTCCTTAGTGTTAATATAGCGAAACAAATCCTACCTGTGTTGACCGCAGCAGGTGATGCAGTTGTACTGGCGGTTTGTTCGATTCTGGTCGGCTCTGGCTGCGCTGATTAATCAAAAAGTGGATGAATCACTTTGAACAAGTTGTTGTTTTTCTCAAGGTTAATGCAAAACGCACCTACCTCAACATGTTTCTTTAAATGTGAACTGAGGACAATGTGCATATTTTAAAAGTTCATCAGTGTAAGCGCCACTCAACGTAATCAAATCTTTTTATTAATACTTTTACAAATTAATAAACAATCTCTTTTTTAAGTCATGGCAACGCTGGATAATGTGTAAAATAATTAAAATGCTTTGTACCACAATTGCATTTTAAAGTAAGGAAATCAAGTCTAATCTAGTAAATCAATGACAACAATGACAGCACGTGCACATTAAAATGAATGAACAACAGGTTGGAATGATGAAAACATATTGTGATACTGTCACCCGTGATTAGTTATAAATCAAACCTGCAAATGTTAATTATTTAAATAATAAAAGTATAGGCTACATTTGATTCTCTTTGTTTAGGAAACACAGGACAAAGAGCCTCTTTTAGTATTTATTTCTGAGCAGATTAAATCAAGTTTATAAATCAACTTCTTTAGCAATATATATGTTAAACAAAGTTATTAAATTCCAGCTGGACGAGCAGTAAAGTAACTCACCTGTCAGGACGGTGACTCTGACCCACATCTCTCCATTACACTGATACTCTCCAGCGTCCTCTGGCTGCAGGTCCCGGATCTGCAGGGCATCGTTGTCATAGCTGAGCCGGCTCCCCTTCCTCTCTGGTGTCACCGTGTTGTTTTTGAACCGGGTGAAGATGGCCTCCTGCTTCCTTCCTTCCCTCCTGTGGTACCACCTCTTTTTGGGTCTGGAGGAGCCGCTGCAGGGGAGCAGCAGCGTCCGGCCTGCAGACACCCTGAAGTCATTGCCTGAGGGGCAGGAACAAAGAGGAACTATGGGTATTTGTCATTGTGTCTGTCAGCTGGTGGTTTTTTACAGAGGGAGTTGTCCCTCTACTATTTATAATTTTTATTTTAAAACATACATTGACTCTTTGTTTTTGTGCATTCTGTTCTCACGAATTAGTTTTAATCCCTGACATCACAGCGGTGGCTCAAGGCCTGTACTTAAAGAGGCTACAGTTTGGAGGTAGGCCCTACTTGTGCTGTCCTTGAGAATTTTCAAATGAATGCCACTTTATACTTTATTACTTCTGCGATTACTCCACTAAATGTCAGAGGGAAACAAAGTACTTTTTACTCCAATACATGTTTTGACAACTTTCACTACTAGTTACTTTCTAGATTCACATTAATACAAAACAGAATCAACTAATAAAGAACGTGATGTATTGTTGTGGATTACTGCAATAACCAGGTATCAGGAGAAACTAGCCGCACCTTTACCAGCTGCATGCTTGCATGTATCACTTTCTATAATATAATAATATACATTATTCTGAAATGGGCCATTCTGCATAAAGAGTACTTTAAAATAAACTGCAGTACTGAAATATTGGATGAGACTTAATAGTCAAATTTTAGGTAGATGTATAATTGAACCACTGCACAAAGTCTGTCAAGGTTGACTGAGTAAATTATGGGCCATGTTTTCCTCTTTTTATTCCACTAGGTGCCACTGGTTAGCAGGTCACTGCTTTTCATCAATTATTTTACATAGAAACACGGGTATTTGTAATTTCCCCAGTTAAAGCAAACTCAAAACGTTGTCCATGTTTTCCTGTTGTGGGGATGACTTCAGTATAATGTCACCTCAGGCACTCCACGAAACTACAAATGATGAAACCTGTCCCTGTTGAGGGAGGCTCTTCTTCCAGTAAGATCTTTATTGGCAAAAGATTAGCAACATTAAACAATGAAAGAATCAAAGAACAAACAAGAAAACTGCATTCCCATGTTTTTCCCATGTTGGATTTATTTGCAGCTCTGTTCCGATTTCCTCCATTTTAACTAAATATCTGTCGCTTTCAATTACACTTTCTTCATAGATGTTACAGATATAAAGTACCAAACAACTCTTGCTAGACTTTATATCCTAGTATTTGTTGCAGCCATTTGTTACATATCATTTCCCAACATTTCCATCAAGTGATCCACACTCACTCCAACATGTCTGATGTCTGTGTAAGATGTAGGTAGGCTTTTAATGTGAAAAAACATCAGGCGGGGTTGAGTTGTGTTGGTAGTTTAGCTTCAATCAAAAATACGGTAAATAATAAGAATAATAAGAAAAGAGTTAGATTATGAAAACAATATTTCTAAGCATTGTGGTAAGTACAACGTGAATCTCTTCTACTGATGTCAAGTTCTGTGGAACATAACTTGACATCAACAAGTTCTGTGGAACATTAAACTAAATGTACCATGTGATTAATCTAAGCCGTTGCATTAGACTAAACATACGTAACACAAGAGACCAGTCTAAAATATCTGTGAAACTGGACACTGAGGCTAAACTTGTCCACCACCTCAACTGAGGAGGAAACATGTAGGAGGAAACATGTAGGAGGACTAACAGCGCCACAAGTTTCCTTTCCCGGGTAAGCAGCTAAGCTAAGTGTCGACTCATGCGCCTATGTTCAGTCATTGGGGGAACAAACGTGGCCCATTTACGAATGCCACATTTGGAGTGACGTCCAACTCAGTCATGAGTCTGGAAAGCAGGCATGTCAGTCACTGCCAGTCCAAACCACTGTGGCTACCCGGGTGGTTACTTATTCCTCAAAGCTCAAAAACCTCTCACTTCCCGTCTGTAAATTCCAAGGTCCCATGAAATGTGTGAACACTGTATGTCATGTCCCCGGCTGTACAACTATCTATTTATCTATATCATTAGCAATAAAAGCCCTTATGCTTTACCTCTTTTCTGTAATTTTACCTCTAAAAGTGCCACTTGGTTGAACACCCAAGCACATATGCATGCATTTTGAGGTGGGTGGTGTTCGTGACACATCCAGACTGTGAGAACATTAACTTTTGAACTTTCAAGTCAAGTCACTCCCTTTGGGCACTCGGCCCTCAACATCCTCTTTTACGCAGAAAGGGATGGAAGGGCATTTACCATGTAAAAATGATTTTGTAATATCTTTCACAACTTATCAGACTGATCAGACACTAGACTGCAAATGGTTTCTGTTGATTTCTGTTGAAATCCACAAACTGAAGGATCCATATGATACATAGATGTTTGTTTTCTGATCTGCTATGGTTAAAGTTTGGTCAGGTTGAGGCACATCTACTTACATCCACTTGGTTAATGAAAGATGGTGGTTAGGATTAATAGAAACCAATGCTGAATGTTGAGATGGGAACTGAAAGGTTTCTGTTGTGAGATAGTGTGTATAAACTTCCAGTAAACTTTAACCATCCTACCAATATAGAGAGTTTTATGACCTGCAAAACAAACCTCTAATATCCCGTTCCTATAACGGTTCATCTATAGATGCACACACATATTGCACTTTAAGTTTTGTATGCCGCATTAAATAGGCACACTTTATTTACCATTATTACCATACCATTATTGGTAAATCCCCTCACCTCTCTGCCAGTTTGGGAACAGGCTTGGCCCTAACTCTACCCCTAAAACTTCTGGTGTTAAAGTCTCAGGCTTTGCTGACTAAACCATCCACTATGATCTCTGCTCTAAGAGGGTTTGTAGCTCTCCGTCACGTCCCTGACAAGCAAGAGTTATAATTTACATGACCACTAGAGGTCCCCTTCAAACTCTGTTTCAACACATTTGTATCTAACGAATGTCAAAGCTGCGTGATCTCCCAACGCGTTCTCATCTCAGTGCGTCATTACCGACGCTTTCAGACAGCGTGACAAAGTGGAATTATTTTACGCTAAAGGTAACCTTCAGCGTCCGTATGAAACGCCACCGTTTTCTACGTCGCAGCAACTCAAAGGAGGCTAGTCGGTCGACATGCACAAAGTCAGATCTGTTCTCTTGTATATTTATAAATTCTGAATGTGTCGACACACATCTAAATATGTCTTTAATTCCCATAATGCACCACTTATATCTCCACCTGTACCTGTCAGCACCTGCAGCTCGGCCACCAGCCGCTGGTTACAGCGATACTCCCCGCTGTCAGACTCATCGAGCTGCAGGAGGCGAAGGCTGCCGTCAGACTCCAGATGGTAGCGTTGAGGGTCCTCGTTTGTCTCGTAGCGGCCCTGTCGGGTCACCGGGACCTTCTTGTCCTGATAAGTCCAGACCACAGAAGATCTGTCAGAACTGCCGCACGGCAGGCGGATGTGGTGATCCTCCGGGACGGAGAACTGGATCACTGATGGAGGACAGAAACAGATTTGAAACTGAGACCTGAGGCAGCTTTTAATGTAGGCCTTGACTTTTACTTACTGTTGCCGGTTTTAACCCAGACATACAATTTCAAACCATTTGTTTCCGCAACCTGGCAACCCAAAACCTGATTAAAGGGGGAAACTGCAGTCCTCCCTTCTGAGGCCCCTAGTTCTGTGAGCCAAAAGGGTTCGAGCATGAGTAGTAGGGTTCCTGAGCTTGAATGTGTGGTTCTTAAAGTCTGGTCAGCACAAAAATCTCTGTAGTTAAATTCTACAACCCTGGACTTCAGCTACAGAAGAGAAGCAAGAAGGTATTATAAAGTCAAGCTACCGGTAATATGGGCTGCGCAGTTTGGGGGAGTAGAAAACAGAAACTGAGTTCTGATGGAGGATTTTCAAGACAAACAGGGCCTTCCAGTATTAAATGATGGCAGACCAACAAGGTTCCAAGCAAGGTTGACAGCAGAGTCATTCATAGACTCAACATTCACATCGCCTGAGCTCACTTTAGTGGGGGAATAGATCATGTTCCAATATTGAGAAGGTTTGTAGGGCGCTAGTAAAAGAGCAGGATAACAAGGAGAGTCAATTACTCAAAGGCAAGGTGGAAAGAAAAGTTCACAGGTCCAAAAGAATGTAAGATTCTTTCACGGTGGAATGATGCACGCAATCACATTAAATGACACCTTCGAATCTACGTCCGATTCCCTCTTGAAAAAGATGATGAAAATTGCAAATACTTTTAAATACATATTTGTGGATATAGCGGAATATTTGGAACCTTATTGTTTATTTGTGGGTTTGTTTTGTATTTATGTACAATGATAAATACTTTTATGGAGAGAGTCATTTATATATAAATATAAATGCGATCTGACTCATAACGTGTCAGTTCATGGTAAAAGAAAAAAAAATTACCAGCTGCTGTTTTAGATGCAGCGCTGTGTCACTCATATCCTGCTGATGGTCAGGGTTTAGCTTTGGTTCCTGTTTTATCAGCCATTCCTCTTTTATCTCATGGAAACATGCTCACTGTCTTTCAGCCTCAAATTACAACGCAGGAAACATACAGACAGACAGAATTACAAAAAAACAAGTGTCATTGTTATTATTTAGAAAATTATGTTAATAAGACTGTATGGAAAAAGGTGTTAAGGGCTGAATGTTAAGTACGTATTTCTTTTTTACATATACATCAAATATTGACACACATAAAGCAATATTCAAGAAATACAATCACAAATCACACTGAGAGTATAAAATTACCTTTTTTGCAACTGTTGATAAATGAAAATTCCCAAAGTAAAATGTAAAACAAATCTTTATTCTGTTGAGTCAAATGTTTTTTTGTGTTTTATAGCAACAAACGTTCTTAAGTTTAAATCAAAATAAACATTTATTCCAAAGTATTTTATGTTAAACTTTGAAAGGTTTTGGTAAAATTGAACCTGTCTTTTATTTAGCCATGAGAACTGTTAGCGAACAAGTTCCTACATGAGGAAACACATGATTGAGATAAATGTAACATTCTTAACACAGAAAACAACTTTATACAACTATACAAAGTGACCGTAAAACAATTTTGCAAATACTTTTGCACTTGAAACATGAATCCAAAGCAAATACAATCTACTGGTCAGATTAAAATGTTAATATACGATATTCTTCTGTACCTGTGGAGTTTTCACTGCAGCAGATCAGAACTGTGTGCAGGAACCAAACGTGACAGAAGTTTGTAAAAGTGAACATCTTCGGATAAAAACCATCTGACTGCAGAGCTGCTGCTGATCTGACTGAAGTGTGAGAAAAAGTTCCCACTCATCCCTGCTCTTCTTCCTCTTCCCTAAACAATGTCTGGGAAGAACTAAGCGTCATTGTCCTGGAACATGGAGATTTGTGTTGACAGCTTCAATTATTGCTGTAAAAATCAGATGGTTAAAAAATAATAAATTAATGTAACTGAAGATTAAAGATGCTTGTGTAATGATTCATTATATTAATTTATCAGAAGACACAATTTCAAAATATTATATTGTCTTGAATAATTTGCAAAAAGTTAAATTAACTGAATATTACAATTAGTGTTGTAGTCAAGACCGCCCAAACTGAGACCAAGTCAAGACCAAGACCAGAGTTTATCGAGACTTTTAGGGGCTGCGACCGAGTCATCTTTAATCAACTCTCCTTTTCCATGTTTACCATCGTAGGGGGTGAGTTTTTAAAGGGAACAACACATTCATAATTAGGGTTTGAATGCATTTGAAGCAGTACGTTTTACATCCAATCAAAGTTAGGATGTTAACAAATAAATATACGATGTAAAAACAATTTATTGATATTCCCAAAGTTATGTTCTTGACTGGTGTTGAAATAAAATCCCGAGTCCTCAACGTCAGATACCGAGACAAGACTGAGTACAAATGCGACTCGAGTCCGAGACGAGACCAAGACCATCAAAAAGTGGTCTTACTACTTTATTAATTAAAAGTTCAGCTGAAACATAATATATCATACGGCATAAATTATTGGATCAACATCCAGCTGGCAGGAGGAGATGAAGGCAAATTCTGTTTTTGGTTCTCAGGAATTTCTGTAAAACAAAAATTTTAAATTAACTTACTCAAAGCGGTTTTAATCCAGGCTGTAGAATTAACACTTTTCCTAGAAGTAAATATTTACCTGATTAAAGTTCATTATTCAGGTAAAAATATGCAGAGTCATTCATCTGTGACCTGTGGAGAAAAAAAGACAGAACAGAATAACTAAACTATATTTATGATAATAAGTCAAAACTATAAAGAATGAATTTGCTTTTCTAACTGAGAATAATCACTCAACTTTGCAGCTTAACAGCTCCTTTACTTTACTTTTATTTGGCTGTTTAGCTTATTATTTATACCATTCCATTAGGCAACTGTTTGCTAGCACATTACCTAAAACTACTTCATAACCTTATGGTAACTTTATATCAGTACTCTTTTTCCCTTCTCAGTTCTGAAAAATTACTTCATGTAACTTTACGTTTTAGCAAATTGTTCAAAAACACTGATCCTGCTCAATTGTCAAATTCAAAGGTTTTCCACCAAACTTTTTTCAGTTTTTTCTGTAATTTTTTGAGCTAAAATGATTTAAGTAATCAATTAGCATGAAATTATATAATTAAAATTAATAAATTGGCACCTATTTTGATAATAAATTAATCATTTAAATATTTTCTGATTTTGTATTGGGTCGTTAATTGAGCATGTTTGGGCATTAGAGCGATTTGAAGATGCCGTCTAACCAGCTAATAATCAGCAGATGAATCAATTTTAATCAATAATAATTAGCTGCAACAACGGTTATGTTGAAATTGCAATGACATGACACTGTAAAGCCTATGATAACTGTCATACACTTATTAAACTTACAATACACACTACATTATATAAATAAATACCGTCCAAGCCAACATAAAGAATGATAAAAGTCACCTTCATATTCTCTGAAGACCAGGCTAGTTTGATCAGGGAATAAGGGCTCTCATTGGGCCGAGAAGCTACTGTAAAAACAGACATTAATACAACAAATATGAATATATACAGTAAAACAAAATCACCAATCCACCACCTGAATGAGTTGTGGATGGACTGTGTAAAAGAAAGTACTGAGCCAAGGTCTTTACCGGTCTTGTTTCCTGTTGGGAGGCCTTGGATGACGGAGTATGTGACGTCAAGTTGTTTTGATCCATCTTGAAAAACAGTTTAAATTTTTCAACATGCACATGTTTCAAGCGTGTTTTTAAAATCAAACGTTTATATCCGATAGACCACAGATACAGATAAATTAAAATAAAGAACAACTTGTATTTCTCACCTTGTGGTTCGACCACCAATCCATCAGTTATCTCAGCGTAAACCACCTCAACCTTTTGTTCACCACTTCCTTCCAAACAAAGCATGAAGGTCACAAGATTATTAATTCAGTACACAGTCAGTGATTATCTGCTTTAAAGACCAAAAAATGACAAAACCACACAAAGTTTTACACTTTAAAATTGATGTGACAAGTTAAAATAAAGAAAAACATTTTTATGTACTTTTGCCTGGGAAACTGTTATTATTGCAACCACGGAGATCACTTGTTTTCAATTTGCTAGAAAACTGAATGTGCTGCGATTAAGTTTTTATAACATTTGTGTTCACTGAAATTTTATTTGATTGGAAATGATTTCCATTAATGCATTTTCAGATATGTTTCAGGTCATCATTCAGTCACCTCGTCTTTTGATCCTGCATCTCCAAATGAGGAAGAGGATGATGAGAATGATGAAGAGCAAGGGGAGGAATATTCCAAGCACCAAAACAACAGCTGGAAGACAAAAACAAAAAGTTCCCAACACATACTAACACAGTACATACAGACACATATATGATGCTCGAATGCATTTCCCATGATGTGATCTTTTTTATCTGTTCAGCAACAACTGTAGGAGACCTTATAGTATAATACACACTGTGTGACGTGGAGGGACACAGGGGACACTGACTGACGACCGCTCAGCGTAGCATGGACAAACATACAGCTGATAGTCAGAGCAGCTACTTTCAGACTTTCTCTGTCTCTTCAGTGTTCTGCTTTGTACATGTGGCCATCGAGGGGTGGGGCGCCTCTGACATATATAGCACTTGTAAAATTAGTCTGTACGGCTAAATCTGGCTCATTTACAGTGTGGACATTGTCCCTATATTCATTAATGTGCACTGTCCCTTATAAGTAAACAAACAAGCATTGCTGTATGACACAAAATGAATTTCCGAAAGTACTAATAAAATATCTATCTATCTATGTGGGGTCAGAATAATCTGAAAAAATAAAAACTGGGTAAATTCACTTGAAAGCCACCACAAGTCGGAACTACAACTCGGACAGTTGGCGATTGATATTGTCATATTAAACAGAACATGGAAGAGAAAAAGTAAATTATTATATTTTATTCACGTATTGTACATGCCTTTTTGCTCATGTAATTTGTAAAATGGTATTAGGTTGTGACAGTTAGTTGCTGTCTACATAGATTAGTAATTTATTAGCATTAACCACGATAACAGTCAGGTAAAGCAATATTTTAGTAGTTTTAGAGAGTGTACTGGTGCAGCAACATATGTGGGACAAAATCACAAATTTTCTGCTCAGCTGTTTCAACAAACTTTGGTAGCAAAACAACCCATCAGCCAAACGCTATGCAAAACGGTCCATGTTGTTGACTTAAATGCTCATGAATTGCCTATTTTGTCACGGTTAGGGAGGGGCCAGGGAACTTTTTGTTTGGCCTCATGGCAGCACACTGAAAGCGGCCAGTCTTGTCATCTTTTTAAAACACTTAACAAGGCTAATTTATATTAACCAAGTCAACTTGAGCTCATTTTCCCCACATTTTCAGTCCATGTCTGAGGCATTTAGTCTGTTTTACAAAGTGTGTCTGTATTCGTGGATGTCAGCAGGTACAGTGATAATTAAGTATCTCCTAGAGTGTTCTTGTCTCTCACCTTTCTCAGACTGCTCATCTTTGGTCACATTCAGATGCACAACTGGTTTTCCATCACAGTAGTACAGTCCAGCGTCATCAGGCTGCACGTCTGTTATAGTCAGCGTCTCTTCCGTGGTTGAATATCGAGCGTGCTTATCCATCTCATTTTGACTGGAAACAGTGATGTTTGTTCCACAGTTTTCTCTGGTCCATGTTGGATCTCTTAACCCAGAAACAGCAGAGGGACAATTCAGAGTGATGTTGGTTCTTTCTACAACAGTGAGTCTGGCTGTTTCTCCTGCATGACCAAACACAAAGTAAAAAATATGTTTTATGTCATTAAATACATGGATTTTCTTTGAGAAACTGACCTGTTTTTACCCCAAAGGTGGAGGAATAACATGGTCTAAGTGCATTTACGTGCTGTACTTAAGGACAGTTTTGAGGTACTTGTACTTTCCTTTGGTATTTCCATTTTCATCAGCTTTATACTTCTACTCCTCTACATCTCAGAGGCTGAAATTGTAATTTTAATCCACTACATGTATGACATGATAGTTACTTTTCAGATTACAATTTGTTTACCATCCTGTCCAGTGAAAACCATGTATCTCCAGATGTTTGAGAAACTGGCAGATGATGTGTTACTTTAGTCTGACAAAATCCTCCACCTTTTAATGCTAAATAAACTATTTAAACCCGCTTGCGTGGGCTGGAAAACACATCGTCACAAAGCTGAGAACAGGCTGTTTTGTCTGAGCTAATGAAAAGCTGACTTTTTAAAGATACGTGGTTGTCACTGGACAGCGATGTTACATGATCTTATAGACCATGATGCATTGATGCAGATTAAACTGGCCAACAGGATAAAGAGGAGTTCTACAGCAGAAAAATGCAACACACACAGCAGGAATAATAATCCAGAAACATCCGATATACCAGTGAAACACATTTTACAGTACTTTTACTTTCATACTTGTAGTATATTTTGCTGATAAGTCTTTTGTATTTTTACTTTACTTTGAATACTTGAAGTACCTTAACTTAAGTAAAGCATCTGAATACTTCTTCGACGCCTGGCCATGACTTTGCTGATGCTCAGCTGTGGTTCTTCTGGTTTGAGGGCTAAACTAACATCATGGACTTTATCTTGTTCCACAAACTACTGAAGTAAAAGTCCATTTAACAAAGTTTTGTACAGTACATGGAATTTCCTTTGTAAGACTCTAAAGAACAAAAGTGTCACGTTTTAGCACAGACCCAGGGAAGTAAGGATTTGGACACAGGCTCAGAAAACCAGGCTGAGCAGGTTTATTAACTTAAACCAAACGTACAACCAATGTGAGGGAGGAACACTCTGCATGATATGAAGACAGACTCACAAAAGGCCGGGGAAGCACAGACTATACACACACAGGCTGGTTAAACACATGTGAGACACATTAGGCATCAGCAGTTAAGACAGACTAGAAATAGAAATAGACTAAAACACAAGAGGCAGACATTTTCAAAATAAAACAGGAAACTAACACAAGTGGACATTTCTCATTCCTATATTTCTTTAATTGTAAGTATATTGTGAATTACTAAGTTCTCTTCTTTACTGAATGATCATACAGTCACAACTGTACACCACTAAAGCAGGAGTAAATGTAATGGAGGAAACGAAGGTAAAACATAATTTCTCATTACTTTCAAAAACATTTAGTATTTAGTATTTAGTAGTATAATAATATTATAAATTCTACAATAGTTGTGTTATTGAAGGTAAAAACACATTTACATCTAATTTATATATGTTAGTAATATACAGCCCATTACTTAACAAAATGTACTGTACATGCAACAGGAAGAGAAAACAGGAAGCAGAGCAACTTTCTTAAAGTTTGATGTTACCTGGTTTGATCACCGTCAGCTCCACAGCTGGTTCATTATTACACAGGTATCTTCCAGTGTCCGAGAGATTAACTCTGTTAATGAAAAGTGACTTAAATTTATCTGCCACTGAATTATATCGTCTGTCGGGATCATTGTGTCTTATTTCTCCGTCACCATCAATTATAAGTATGTCAACTCTGTTTCCGTTTCTCTCTCTGCTCCACGTCACTTTACCCTCCGCAGGGTGAGGACATGGCAGAGTGATCTGGCTCTTCTCCTCGACTACTGCATTATTTATTGCTGCAAAAGAAACAGAATTTCTAATAAAAAGGTATTCATAACAATTTTTTAAACCAATTTTTTCAAGCACATCTTGTTGAAGATAAATTACAAACAATATTTTATAGTTTAAATATATAAAAACAATTTACCATAATCATTATTAGTTAAATCTAAATCTAAGCACGCTATATAAACATGTATATATGCTACATAGGTGTATACATACATAACCACATAGTAATCTGTTACATTAATCAGTCAATATTTCCATGTTTTATGTTCAGCTTTGTTGTCCTTGTTTTTAGCTGCATGTCTTTTCCTGTCGTCCTGTCGATTGTTCTGTGTATAACACTGAGAGCAACTTAAAACCTGAGTCAAATTCCTTCCGTGTTCGCATACTTTGGCCAACAAAGCTGATTCTTCATATGACCTTTTTCTAAATATGAATATGATCTGTGCTTCTGTAATACACAGTCCCCTCCAAAAGTATTAGAACGGTGAGGCAAATTCCTTTGTTTTTGTTGTTCACTGAAGACGTTTGGGTTTAAGATCAAAAGATGAGACGAGAGTTCAGAATTTCAGCTTTTATTTCCTGGTATTCACGTCTAGATTTGTTAAATAACTCAGGACGTACCAACCTTTGTTTGAACTCACTCATTTTTCAAGTGAGCAAAACCTTTGGCAAAGCTTCTCTTCCTCATTCAATACAGACGAGAGCTGCGTGCTTCTTCAACCTTCTCCCGTTACTTTTCCCCTTCTTAAGGTAATTACTACTCACAAAGCAATGTAAACTTTAACACATGTTGATAGTACATCTCGTTATGTTGCTGTGATTTTTTTTAGGAGTAAAAGAAACTGTTCTGCATGTGTATATTGTTTAGAGTTTCGTGCTAACTGGGAAGATGTGTAACGTTATGCTAGCAGCCAGAGAGTCCCGCCATGTCCAACCGTTTACTTTGTCGTTGGTGTTCAAGCGAGCTACTGCTACGTCCACATATTTTAGCCGTAAGGTTTGTGTATTTGTCACTGTGTGGGTGAGTTCACGTCATGCTGAGACAATGAATAATGTTAAAAGTATAATTCATTTTAGTGTTCTGCTAAAATGAGTCACATTTCATAGCGTAATTTCGTTAAAAAGATAATTTAGAATGTATTAAGATAATGGTGACTGTGGTCCTGAATCTGATGAGTGCATTAATATTGAAATGTATGGGTTTTTTTGGTATACATTGTAAAAAATGATTCAATACAGACGAGTGAAGGCGAGAGCTGCATGTGTGTGCTTCTTCAACCTTCTCCCGTTACTTTTGCCCTTCTTCAGGGCACAACACAAGCACAACAATTTGGAACGTCCTGAAAAAGGAACTGGAACAGGTCGGCCAAGGAAAACTACAGTAGTTGATGACAGAAATATGGTGAGAGCTGTGAAGAAAACCCCCAAAACATCAGGAAGTGACATCAGCAACGACCTCCACAGTGCAGGGTGAAGGTATCACAATCCACTGCTGGAAGAAGACTCAGAGAGCAGAAATCTAGAGGCCACACCACAAGATGCAAACCACTCATCAGCAGGAAGAATAAGAAGGCCAGATTGAAATTTACAAAGAAGTACAGAGATGAGCCGCAAAAGTTCTGCAACAAAATCTGATGGACTAATGAGACCAAGATTAATCTCTAGCAAAGTGATGGAAAGGCCAAAGTGTGGAGAAAGAAAGGAAGTGCTGATGATCCGAAGCATCCAAGCTCATCTGTGAAGCATGGTGGAGGTGATGTCATGGCTCGGGCTGCATGGCTGCTTCTGGAACAGGCTCATTAATATTTATTGATGATGGTAGCAGCAGAATGAATTCAGAAGTGGACAGAAACATTTTGTCTGCCAGTTTAAGCATTGAAACTAATGGGGAGGAAGTTTATCATTTACATTTATTCATTTTAGCTGACACTTTTTATCCAAAGCGACTTACATGTCAGAGGTCTCACGCCTCTGGAGCAACTAGGGGTTAAGTGTCTTGCTCAGGGACACAATGGTGGATGTCTCACAGTGGGAATCAAACCCAGGTCTCCCACACCAAAGGCAAGCATCTTATCTATGCGCCATCACCACCCGCAGCAGAACAATGAGCCAAAGCACACTGCCAACAAAACAAAGGACTTCATCAGGGGAAAAAAGTGGTTTCAGACTGGCCAAGTCAATCAGCTGACCTTAACCTGCATTTCACCTCCTTAAGAGGAGACTGAAGGGAGAAACGCCCCGAAACAAACAAGAAGTGAAAGAAGCTGCGGTAAAAGCCTGGAATAGCAACACAAATGAAGAATGCAACAGTTTGGTGATGTCGATGGGTCGCAGGCTTGAGGCAGTTATTGGCAGTTATTATTAGGTTATGGCACCAAATATTAAATGTTATTTACTTTAAAATTATTTGTTCCTTTACCTTTGCTCACCTAAGAATGCTGTGGTCTAATACAAACGGCGACATGTCCTGAGTTGTTTAACAAGATGTGAATACCAGGAAATGAAAGCTGAAATTCTGAACTCTTGTCTCATCTTTTGATCTTAAACCCAAATGTCTTCAGTGAACAACAAAAACAAAGGAATTTGCCTTACAGTTCCAATACTTTTGGAGGGGACTCTAAATATAAACTATACAGCACGCAGGCCTAAAACACCAGGACCTCAGTCTTTAGTGTGGCCTTCATGTATGACAATAGCTTAGACACTTCATCTTAACGTTCAAAAAGGGCAGAAAACAACACATATTAATGCAGGTGAGATAAAGTTATGCATATAACAACAGATTACAGTCCTTACCGGCAGTGACATTACAGCCCAGAACAAAGACTAACAGGCAGCTACAGATATTCACCGTCTTCCTCATACTGACTGAAGTGACTCTCTATACAGGAGCCTGATGTGTACTGATGTCTGACCTCAGTCTCTGTGTGGGCTGAACAGGAAACTCTGAGTGTTTGAGTGTTTCTTAAGAAAAAATCCATTTCTCAACACATCTCAGTGTCTTTACGCCAATACTGCAGAGTACATTTTAAATGTGTTGAAAGCTCTTGACCACTGTATATTGTGAACCTGCAGCTGTTTGGTAACTGACAAAAACACCAGAGGAAGAAGAACTTCTGCACTTTAGTGGTTTAGTTCTGCTAGTGTTCACTAACAACTATCCACAACCCGAACACGTTAATCGTATTTACGAACAACGAACAAGACAAATCGTCTTTGCGGCTCTCAGGATGCTCTGTAACCCACGTTCAGTGGCTGAATGTATTTGATTGTATGTGCAGAAATGGCTCGAGATGTATTTCCTTGTTGCGTTAATTAGACAAAGAACAAATTCTTTACATGGATGTATCAAGATCCCTGAGTGGATATTTCCACATACTGTTTACAGACATAATTACACTCTGTTGTGTACGAGTCTTGGAGAGACAGATGTGTGAGTCTCAAACCGCCTCCAGAGGTTTTCAGTCTATCTTGAATGCTTGTGCGACACATTTACACTTTTTTTTTTAACATCAGTGACACACTATAAATGGAATCTTAGTAATATCATCGTATCTGTGGCCGTTTGTCTTGGACAATAAAAGTGAGGGGGAGGTTCCCCAGTGGAAATTACGGCCTTCATTCACCTAAACCACATAAGGGAAAGTTGGTTCAAGGTGGTCGATTAATAAAAATGTCAGCTTTGATGATTACAGACGTGAGAATCTCTATTGCTAGCTCAAATGTAGTTAAACAATTCCTCTTGCTGCTCAAATCATCTGTTACACTCACGATTCTGTCCTCCCTCACGCACAAATCGCTCTTACTGCTGTTACAAATCCGCCCCTGCTCGTTCTCAGACCGAGTAGCACTAAAATTAGTTTACATTTACAGTATGAACATGAAGGTGTAGATCACTGAGGTCAAAGAGGGAGTAAACATCTGTGGGAGTGAGGTATTTTTAACCCAGTACTCATAGTGCACTGTATTGCAACGTGTCAAAGTGAGAAGTGATTGTAAAACAGGAAAAGAAAACAGAAAGCAGAACAACTCTGGTGAAGTTCGATGTTAACGATGACATCACCGTAGTGTAAGTTACACAGCTGGTTCATTAATACAGACGTATCTTTGAGTGGCTGAAACAATAAATCTGGATTTTTCAGTATTTTAACAGACTTTCCAGTGTAAATGAATCCAGTGGTTTTTAAGTTTTAAAGTCAATGCAGCTAAACGGTCCAAAACATGATACCTACAATGGTGCGACTAGAAGCTTTTGTTTTACATTTTCTTCCCGGAGGAACTTCAATACACTGGTGTCTTAGGGCAATTGTAGTTTGTTTTTTTATTCGGGAGCCCTGCGAGAAATTTATGAGATTTATGAGCATAAACACATTTACGAGAAATAAACTTGTATATTCTCGGAGAATAAAGTGGTAAATTTATGACATAAACACATGGACTTGTATGACAAGACACACCACCATCCTACACGCCTCCTCAAGTGTAACAGAAAGAAGTGGACGAAGTGGTGCGAACATGGAATCACACAAGACCAGACCCAGGCCAGGTTCAAGATGTGCATGGAGGTCGGAGGTTGACCTTAAAGGAAGTGGCTGTGTGCAAAGAGTCAGTTTCCTGGTTATGAGACTGTGACCCAATCCCAATGTCCCCCCTAAGCCCTGAACCTTCATAGACTTTACTGACGTCACTTAGAAAGTGATTGAGGCTGCAAGGGCTCAAAATGCTGCAAACAGGAAAGGGACAGAACTTTGCCACTTTATCACGTTACCTTGACGACGCTGAAACACGTTGTAAACTTTTTATTTTATGTTTTTGCCTGATTTTAAGTCCTGCAGGCTCTCGCCCTACAGAGTGGAGGAGAGGTAAATATCAATATATCTTTGTCAATAATCAATACACTATTGTTGGTCAAAACAGCATCATTAAGCAAAAACTAAAATAAATAGTTGAAGAAACTAAGTGTGTAATAAGGTGATTGCATTCCTCTGACTTCATGTGTTCTATGCAGCATCTTAAGTTTAGAAAAACAATGTTAACATCAGCGTTGGTATCGATGCTTGTTTGTTTACCGTTTTTCTTCTTCTTCTCTTATAACGCAGATTTGCCGTGATTTTTCTCTCACTTCCGGGTGTCCCCTTGTAATCCCCGTGTTTAACGTCATGCCGCTATGAACTGTGAGCAATTCCCTCAGGCAAAGTCTGCAGAACTTACGAAAAAGGGTCTAAAAAGGGCTCAAAATGTCTGCTGGAGTCTGTGAGGGCCTGTCTGTGTACTGCTGATGCAGGAGAATAGATGGGGATCTGTACATATCTAAAGATGGGCTTTACTAGACCAGGACATTTATTAAGAAGCCTGTCTGCCACAGTAAAACAACCATTTAGGTAATTTTTCGCCCCCTTTAGTGGCCGTACAATCCAAACACATGACAAAGACGGTACCCCGAGTAGTGTGTCGCTGCAGTACCGGATGCTGCAGTTTCAGGACTGCAATCCTGGGGCTGCATTTATAGGACCTTTGTTTACTTTGATACTACGAGCTAGCTGGCTGGCTAGCTAGCTATGTTACTCTTGACAGCCCCCTGAATTACCCTTACCACAACCATCACCGAGTGTGTGCCTAAACTTGGGTTATTGATTATATGCATGTCGACCGGTTAACCCTACAGCTGTGCGCATCGGCCGTGCCAGCAGACAAGGTTAACCTCCTTCGTGTTGCTATGCATTACCGCCACCACTCCACTAGATGGCGCTGTCGCAAAAGAACTATGGTCCTAGAACTGCAGTCCCAGGATTGCTGTGGTCCTGAAACTGCAGCCTCCAGTACTGAAGCTACATAATATTGGGTAACCATCCAGCGGTGGCGGGTTGGGTGGAAGGATAGTAAGGTCGGCGTTTGGTTCCAGCGTGAAACAAGAATGATTAAAGTTAAGTAGGCCTAGTGTTAGCTATGTTAGCATTCCTAGCTAACTATTTTCACCATTGTTAACTATGTTTACCCAATACCATAAAACGTAGGTCCGGTTGGAAAAACAGAGTTCGAAATTGCAATTTTGGGAGGCATGGATGAATGCCCCTGGTAGGAGGTAGGAGGTAGGAGCGCTATTTTAGGATACGCTGATGAGTTTGGAGGTTTGTTAAAATGACCTATGTGGTTGTTTAGGTTGGAGGACTTATTGTTATTAAACACTGTATTTAAATACAAATTCAACATACCAGTATTTTACTTAAGTATTTCCATGTTATGCTACTTTATATTTCAACTTCAACAAACTCTCATCTGACAGCTCAAGCTAGTTACTTTTCAGATTACAATTTTTCAAACCCTTTGCTGAACCGTACTTATGTAAGCATATGTAGCCATACTTTATCTTAAGGTGTTGAATGCAGGACTTGTGTGTTGGTTACTGGTAGCTTAATGTATAATAATCAATGCAGTAAAAGCCTACTCACCAGTTCCTTTTCACTAAACTGTGCTGATCACTGATATATTCAGATAATAGAGAAACAATGGTTATGAAATCATAAGAATGTTCTGAATGCATAGCAAAGAGAGATAATGTCTCATAGTTCATAGTTTTCACGTGACATGCGCGGTGACCTGGAGGGCAAAACAACAGACCAACATAGCGGCACACAGCACGACTCCCCCGTAGAGACGCTGCAAAAGCAGTCAAATTTTATTTGGATCACCTTTCAACTTAAGAAAAAGAAAGATAGGAACACAAACTGGAAGTGTTGGGCATATCTGATCCATATAACGTTACAGCATCCACTTCTGCATTTCTACTGTTAAAAACCGCCAGTTCCCTGCTGCTGCTCGACTGCGGTAATGTTTAGCCTACTTCTACCTGCTGGGGAATCCCTCACCTAACACAACCCAGGCTTGTCTCCTCCTCGATTAGTAAATCCGAAAGCACAACAAGCATCCAGCATTTTGTAAACGCAAAAAGTAACTCAAAGTAACAGTGCATTACTTGCATATTGGTTGGCAGGCAACGAAAATTAATGTCTTTTTGCCCTCCAAGGGAGCGTTTTCCTTGGAGTGTGACGTCACATGAAAACTATGAATAATATACAGTATATATAGATATATTAGTCAGTGCAGTTCAATTAGTTTAACTACATTTTGCAGTGGCTGGGTGATAGTTTGACTTGAATTCTCAGTACTTTTTTCAGTTGTTAACTTTTTTGGGTCATGTAGTTCAGGTAGTTAATTACAAACCACATATTTCACCCTGTCCTTTCCTTAAAACCCACCCATAGGTATGCCTGAGTGAGGTTTTGCCTGTTCTAGTCACAACATCAAAACACCCAAATTTCACAGTCTGACAAAATAAATAATAAAGTACCACAATGCAAAAAAAACATGTATTAAACTGCCGTGCCTGGAGTAGTACACATTCATTTTGTGATAGAATACAGAGCACTTACCTCAAATAAATGGGTAAATGGGGTGCAAATATACACATATTTAAACCAGGAAAAGAACATACTGTTGAAAGCAGCACAGTTTAACAGTCATATGGGCCTTCAGCATTAAAATAGGACCAGTTTCAGCTGGAAACAGTTGGATAACGTTGATTTGCAGAGCGAACCCTATCTCGAATCTCGTCTCATGTAGTTAGCTAAGTGTCTTGTCACGGCCCTATCAAATATATATATTTGGTATGAAAAGTCCTTAAATCAAAATCACTAGGCAAACAAGCACAAGTTTAAACTTTACAGAGGCGGTTTCTCCCTTAGCCGGAGTTTATCCATCTATCCAAACAGTTGACAAAAAACAATGTTATTTTCAACGCCATTTTGCTGACTTACCCATGTGAGGAAAATGATAAAGTAACACAAACTCAAATGAAACAGAATTAAAATGATCATGTGGCTTCATTTGAGCTGAAAAGACAAGATGAAGCAGAACTTTGCAGTCTATAATCACAATCCTGCTCTC